AAACCAAAACAATTGAGTAATGCACTTCTTTTAAATTTATCGCACAGGCATAGTTTTCAAGAAGTGGAGGGTTCAGCAGTGTATTGTTCCACTGAGTTATTCTGTGATTGTGTTCTTGATAGAATGTATCGATCATGAGGTTGGAAATCATACTCAGCTCCGGAACCGACCGACCAAATCGTGGAATTAAATCGCTGTATCTGCATGGGTAAGCAAATCGTCTCAGTGTTATACAAAGTGCTTCTACCCCATCCCAAATGGTTCCTTGGTGAGAATTGAAAGACTAAGGGAGCTGCAAGGCCACTAAAAGGAGGGGAACCACATTCTGATGAAATAGAAACTCAGCCAAACACTTGCTGTCGTCCATCTCATTTAAGTAGAACGCTCCACAACAATCGTAAGGGAAATCTGGGTTTTTTGAGATGTTTCTATCGTAAAGAAGAAGAAATTCGTCCTTGGAAATATCATCGTCATTAGCACTTTCGAGGAGAAGTTTAAGTATATCTCTAAAGGATGCCATATTTTCACTGATAAACCAAAAGCCTGTTATGGAACAGACTGCGTATTCCATGAGTGTTCTTAATGCTATTTTTCGCGCCTTACGACGGCGACCTCTCCCTATTCCCCCCAGTTTACGACCTCGCTGTCGTCGGATCTTATGGTCCCTTATAAAAAAAACCACGGCGGTGACGAAAACGAGGACGAAGTGTAACATAAGATCTAATGAGCAAAACAATAGCTAAACAGGCGCGTTTTAGAACTTTGTACATTTCTTAGCCGTCCCATACAGAAACAAAAGGGACCTTAAGCAGTCAGGACGGCAACGCCAAAGAAGACTTCGATTAAAAAATGAATTTCTGCCTTTAATTAGAATTTCAAAAATGACTGCATGTGTTTACCGTCTCATACGGCGCCACACCTCAACTTCAGCATAACAGAAACGGTTAACGCATCGAGCTATTGGTGAGAAACTTACAGGAAAATAAAGAAGATTTTCTTCAGGAACGTTTTACCACACGTCGTTATATTGACATCTTAAACTCCCGAATAGCCTTTCGCCATGCAGTCGCATGATTCTGCCACATTTTCCATTTTAGAACATTACTTCTAATGTTGGACTTAGGAAAACAAAACATAAATAATGAAAGAAGTCGCTTTTTCGATGAATTGTAAGACTCGAATAAATAAAGGAATCAATTTACTGTAGAATCTTTTTTGATGTGGTCCTACCGGTCAAATGACGAAATACGTATTGACTCATTGAGTCTGATGGGGTCGGACGAGAAAAAGTATAATTTGGATGGAAACGAACTCGATATCGAAGAAAGATTGCTTTGGTTATGGATACTCTGCGAAGAATAAATTTGTAACGGAGAAAAATGATCGCGATTATCACACAGTTTAGCTTTTTTCATTAAGCATGCAAACCAGCTGTGCGATTGTTTGACGGCAGTTTTAGTTTCAGTTATGTCTTTCTGAACTTACGCCACTACTGCCGTCTTAGTTATTGTTGTCTGTATCAGTTAGTGTTCTTGCGGTATGTTTAAGCTCAGGAGGTCACTGGTAGTTTAAATTGTTTCTACAATTGAATGTTGGACAGTTCTCATTTCTACTTAATTAGGAAACGGTGCATGGCAACAAACAGCCTTTGTTCCACCGACGTTGTTTTTTATGGCTTGCTGTAGTGGTCCTGGTGCGTGGTTAATGACTTCAGAAAACAAACATTGTTAATATGAGCCGAAAGAAAACTAATGTTGAGAGGGACACTGTGTTGACTTTTCCAGAAAAGTTGGGGTCTTTTGACATAAAAATGTTAAAAGATCCCGACATTTAAAAAGGGTAATCAGATTTTGATCACCTTTGTAAATGTGACGGATTTCAGTTATTTGATGCAAATTTTTAGTTGTGAAGCACTCTGTGTCAACAGTATTGCAATATCTTATCCATTGTTTATTTCAGGTGTCTTCTAGGTAACGTCGTAAACAGAGCCAATGATCTTAATTGATTCATTATCGTGTTTTTCTCTTATTTTTCAAGTATAAAGGTGCATCGATATTACCGGACATACATATAGTTTCAACAACATCTGTTCGCCCGCAAACCTTTCTTGAAGGATTCTACTGAAGCCATAAAACGAATCGAAGGTAAGTGCAGAGAGATGGTACTCAGTTAAAACCGAAAGTTTGGTACTGAACTACTGAAGGGAAGAGACAACATGTAATTTGTTTCTAGTCCGTTGACTAAATAAAATTAAACTCATGCAGCATGACCTATTCGATAAGTTTAAAGTTACTTTTTTCTACTATCGACACAGCAAAATATATCTAGTGCGCCATGCACACTGTACCTCAGATTCTCATTTCAATCTCGGCTAATTTTCAATATTAGTTATTTAATCAGTCACCGAGATATTTGATCTCGTAAAACGATAGTCCCTTTCTCAATAAGCATTACGTAATCACTTTCGCGTCACAAGAAGAGACAACTTTAAGGCGCTGGTTAAGATCTTGATCATAACCTGAAGTCGAGTCGCGTTCGCACCATAGTACGATCACGTACCTATTCGCGTTTTTTGCCTTTTTTTCTTAGTAGACTCCGACTGCTACTAACTAAATTTTAAATGCCTCGGTATAATTATGGAATTAAGATATCCATCTCATTTGGACGTTTTTAAGGTCCACCATGAGTGTTCTTCGCTATCTACATGCGATGTTGTTGGTATCTCAGCTCACTTACACCAAAGAGGCGCAGCCAACAGTAAATTGTCAAAACTTCAAGTTTCTTATCGATGAAGATGTCGTCTATAATCACATTCTTGAGGGTCACGTGTTTCAAAGATTGACAGTCTACAATGCCACCCAGTGTCACATGAAGTGCAAAGATGACTGCCTGTGTGTATCCATGAATTATTTCCCTCTGTCTAAAGAAAATAACTGTGAGCTCAACGACGCTAACAAAGACATGTAGTCCGCGGCGATGAAATGGAGTCAAGGAGGAAATTATTATGATTTGGTGAGAAGCTACACTGTGAAGGTGAGAGATAGAATCGTTTGTTGTTGATAGAGTTGTCTTAGTTTTTCTTTTTATTTACATTTTTATCATAACATAGTGCGCTTGCAAGGCCTACCTATATCTTGAGGGAGCTACCGCCATAAAAATCCATGTTACATACCTAGACTTCCACTCAACAAAACGAGGACTGTGATTGGTTAATTCTTGGCCACGTGCCCCTGGTCAAATTCAAATGTATCCCGACCGTAATACAGTTTCGCAGTTGTTGCCCACACGCCGAATACAACAGCATGTTTTTGCCATATGATTTTTTAAGGGAAAGTCTAAATATATAACAAAGTAATTAATATATATTTAGTGCACGTCCGTGCATCCATAACATGAAGTGTGCAGTTTCAATTCGGCTAAAAGTCCCGTCTAGTTTAGCCCCGAGAATTCAAAACTATCACTGAAGATTGTCTTTTCGTTCTATCCCTATAAAGACTGACCTTTGTATCTCAAAATGAAAACAAAATATGCTGAAAAAAACTCGTTTCGAAAAAGACAATGAGCATGTAGCTCTTCGAGCGACGTAATTAGTTTCGGAGTTGACAATACTTTATTCACAGACGCGATAAGAATTATGGCTGAAAACAGAACTGAGTTTTCTGACTTCAACTGAGGCTTTGCGATGCTGAGAACTCTTCATTAGAACGGAGAATATTATTTTGAAGCGTTGATATGTACCAAAGTTTTGTTCAATAGAATATTTTGTTTTGTAATCGAACGATTTCAGAATTGTTAGTTCAAAGCTGAGCGATTTTCGGTTAGTAAATTCTAGTAAACAGGGGCATTTCAAGCAGCGTAGATCTACCACACGCGTCTCGTAAATGCGAGAAATTTATAGGCTATTGCTTCCTGTTTTGAACGGTTGATATCAGTTTTAAGTGTTGATATACCTTAAAGTATTGTTAAATAGCGTATTTTTATTTTTAAACCGTACAATTTCAGAATTCTCCAAATCTCCAACACAAACATAGTCAATTCTCTCGCCTTGAATTCTAGTAAACAACGATTCAAGCATGTTAAATCTACTACGCGCTCACGTGCATGCAAAAAATTTATTCGTTTTTGCTTCGGAGCAGAAATTTTACAATTCTTTGAATAAAGATTTGGTCTCAAAATATTTCTTGGTCGTTTTTACCTTGTCATTTATTCATAGTTTTGGGGTAGAACATGATAACCTGGTAAATCGGACGAAGTTGTAATAAGGTTTTTTTTTTCGAGCACAACTTCCATGCTATGTTATAACGAAATTTGTTCACGCTTTAGCTGTGCGTGTATCGAGACTTGGATGCACTTGGGATGTTTGAAGAGCACTCAGGAAACTCTTACGCTTTTCTCGTGCTCTTAAAACTTAGTTCCCGCGTGCATCCATAATTTGATATACGCACGGTACGACCAATTTCTTTTGTACGTCCCTCCCCCCCCCCCGCCATAAATTTTTTTCTGAATATCTACACCGCTGGACTTAACTGTAATCAAGGTATAGTTTAAGGAAAAAAAGGTTCATTTTCAATTAGGGAGGAGGAAGCTACATTCCAGGGATGCATCGCTGCGTTAATAGATGCTGCAGCCAGAATCCCTGCCTCAACGGGGGAGTATGTCAGGAGATTTGAGACAATCACAGCCCCAGGTTTAACTGTACCTGTTCTTACAAATACACTGGTAAGCGTTGTGGTCAGACTGCACATCCAAGAAACTGCAAAGACATCGCTAACAACGGAGCCTCAGAATCAGCAAAATACCATATTTTTGATTCAGCTAATAAACCGTTCTCTGTTTACTGTGACTTGCAGTCAGAACCTGGCTTCGTATGGGCATTGAAACAGTCGTTATCCTTTGCCAATAAGGCCACATATAAGGATAAGGGGTTTGGCACGGATTTTCCTGTGAATGACAATAACAATGAACCGGACTGGAATTCTTACCGCCTTTCCTTATCACATATGCAGTCTCTCTCAAATCACTCCTCACATCTGAGAGTAACATGCAACTTACCTGCAGATGGCCTGCAGTATACGGACTACGCACGCGCAGTTCTGGCAGGTCATGACATATTCGGTGACTGGGGTGGAGATTGCAAACTTTTTGAGTATATTAACATCCGTGGAATTAACTACTCTGATTGCACCGCCTACACGAGAATGGCTCTTAATGGTGCTTGGTTCGTGAACAGTTTCAAAAGCAAGGAACACGAATGCGATTTTGATGGGTCACTAGAAGCGGTTGACAACGAAAATAATTTTGGACGGTATCATTCCGGAGCGATAAATACGAATCACCGCTGCTCCTCTTCGGATCCTTCTACAACGCAATATTGGTTTGGGGTTAAACATGAATAGGTTATTCTAAGTTCCAATAATCTACTAAAACTAGAATGAGTTGTGAGTATTAGATAAGGTTTTTGTTTTTCTTGAAGTATTCTATCTTTTATTGGTTGTGGTTGCTTTTTGTTTTGTTTTGTTTTTTCCAACATAGGCCTTTGGTTTCTCGGAAATGTTTTTTTTTTAAATCGAAGAAATTGCTCTTCAATCTCGTTACAGCCGCTTCCCATAAGATGTTTGGTAGTATGACTTTGAGAGAACGCTTTTTCAACGAGTTTTGTCAAACCGAAAAAATACAGACAGCCAATCAGAACAATATATGATATCACAGGAACTATTAAGAAATCAAAGAGAAACAAGCAAACAGTTGTAATCTGAGATTGTTTTTAGCTGTGCATTGCTTAGGTAGGAGATTAGCCCGAATTCTCTATACCAAAAATGCAAAGCTAATGCAATCTTGGCTCCCTTTTGAAAACAGGAACAAAATTGCTCTGTAGTAGTAGTTAAGTAATGATTCATGGCTTGTATGCGTAAGCTATCATACGAATATGTTCAAATACGCCTTACGAACCTTTATATAACTTATATCGGTAACATACACATGCAACTGATATAACATGATCCTAAATTAAATTAAAAAGCCTAAAAAGTTGAAATATATTATCTGAACAATCAAGGGTAAACACCAACTGTTGCATAACTTAAGACGAAGACTAAATTGCACAGTTGCACTAAGTTTGTTTGAATAGGACTTGATAGCCATAGAAAGGGGCAGTATCACATTTCATTTAATCGCCTGAATGCTGTTTCATCAATTTACATAATCTCAGATACTAGTTTGATATTTGTATGGAGAGTGAAAGAGACATTTGCAATTAAATGACTCGAAAACCGATCTCTTCTCCAGCCTTGTAAATACATCTCAGGAGTCAGCAGAATGATAGAAGTCAACTTGCATATTTTTGCACAAAGAAATCTTTACATCTTTGTAGTCGAAAACGGCTCACTTTGTATCTATTGTTAAGAGAACGAGTCCACTATGTACCTGGTCGAAGGATTCGAAAAGTGGTTTCATAATAAAAATGCCCTCTCTTTCTTGCTACCCGGCTTCAGTAAAAATTGTCATTTAGGAAAGCTCCCTTTCGGAACAGATCTCACTACAAAAACTTTGAATTTCTTCTTCTTCTTTGCTAATTACCATCAAGCCTTGCTTGAACGTCCAGTTTTGTGTAACATTAGTGTACAGGTTTGCTTGTGAGTATTAGTATCTGTATTTATTTTGAATTTTATGACATGAGTAGATTCATTTTCATGAAGCTTTTTAAAACGGATAAGTACTGGTTAGCATCTGTTTGTCAAAAAAAAAAAAATTACGGACGATCATCTTAACGCCTAGCTGCCTGCCTTCGTTTGAGGTGAATGACTACTATGTTCCTTAGGTGCACATATTTCTAGAAAAAGGTTAGAGTTTGAGAACAACTTTGATATAGTGAAACTTTACACATCGTTGAGCGATTGAAACTGTGAATGAAATATCAGTGGCAAACTGTGTTGATTAAAACAAGTTGGTCAAAAAACAACCGGTTCAATCATTCGTTCTCGCTTGAAAATACGATAAGTTGAGTGAGTAACGTAAGTAAAACTTTCCATCACTTATCAATTACAACGTGGCGCTGATTAAGAAAAATTTTCACATGCAGGCTTAAGTTCTGGGCGTTGGCTCATCTCAGGTTTTTCCAAGCAGCAGTTAACTGATGCAACAATCATGTCAGTTTAGAACTAAATAATTGATTTGTCTACGTCCTTCTTTTTCGTTCATCTTGGTCGTTCATGTTTTCACATTTTCCCAAGGATCTGCTTTAGTGCATCAGTCGCCATCAATTTTTTTGTCTATTCGCCTGATGTAAACAAAACATACAATGCACGCATTCAAAACTAAATTATACCTCAAAAAGCAGAAAGTAGCCGCTAAATACAAGAGAACAAGAATGGGGCCGTTCAACAACAAAATTGGAAAAAAACTATTCGCAAGCATCTCCTCGAAAAGGTTTCAGCTCTCTTTGTTCTCGGTGCCTAAATCCAGCATCTTTACGTCACAAGTTAGAAAGTAGCAACGAAAACGAAAAATTTAACCACGAAACATTTGTGAACATTGAAGATTTTTCAATGCAAAATGATTCCATTACACTAATTTTCACAAAAAATTACGGTGTTTGATTTATAATATCCGTGTTTATGTTGAATTTCTGCCATATGTAGATTCTTTTTCATGAAGTTTATTCAAATGGGTAAGTATTGGTTATTATCTGTCGGCAAAAACAACTTCACGGACGATCATTTTAAGACCTGGCTATGTGTCTTCGTTTGTGTTAAATGACTACAGAAAACAAATGAAACAACTTAACGTCAACAACAATGTCTGGAGAAACAGTAAAATTGCTTCGGGTGATATTTTATTTCAGTGTTATTACTATTATTTCCAGTATTGATCACTAGTAGAATACTCAATGGTGAAGTCTGACCTTAATCTCTCCTTCTCTAGTTGACGCTTTTAAACTGTGAATGGATGGTATACGGTTTTGAATAATTCATATCATCCGGCTCCTGTTCAAAATATACACAATGTGAAGGAGTATCAATGATAACAAGTGTCCAGTATTATCATCTATGTTCGTTATTTGCACATCTTTCTAGAGAAGGGTTAGAGTTTGAGAAAGATTTTGTGATATTTTACCATTTCTCATTTCAGGTTTTTCCAAGCAGCAGTCGACTGATGCAACAATCATGTATGTGTACTCACCTCGGATTATCTCGAACTGGCACCTTAATGACTTCAACAGCCTCCCCTTCATGGTTAACCCTGATTCATGGCCAATAGATAATTGTGTTTTGCTACCATTCGTTTGTTACATGTGATGTGTGACATGCCTGCTTGTATCTATAATCATATTTCCCATATTTTGAATCATATTTTGAAGCCATTAGCGATGAGATTTAGAGAAGGAATAAATTACCATAATCAGGTGAGGAGCTACACTGTGCCAAAGTTGTAAGAAACTTAAGTTGTTTAGTCTATTTTATTCAATTTACTAGGCAGACGAATATCCTGAAGTGATCTATTCCGTCAAAAGTGAAATTCCTATCATGAAAACCAAATAAAACAGTCTAAAGTAAATTCCTTGTAAGGTAACTGTCCAGTAAATTAAAAAGTTTCGGAACATTACACATTATTATGATAAAGTTCGGATATAACGCCGGCTGAAATTGGTTAAAAGAGCGTGCTCTAGGAGAGTATAGAGCATGGAGCTGAGCTAAAGCTGTCACGTCATCTGCCAAATTGTACTGTGTCCGACCTTTCCGGGACTTCTCTCTAGCTTTTTTTCCATAATTGAAAGTGAAATTTCGGAACAAGCGAGACGGCAAGTAGCAACGGAGGAACCAAACCAAAGTTTTTAACCATGCCAGGCGCCATGAATTACTTTGCTGAAACATGATCAGAGTCGAAAATCCTCAAAGAGAAAACAAAATGGACAGACCGAGTTTGAAAAGGTTTCGCGCTCAGTTAGATTGCAAGCTTATGTGCGGTAACAAAAATCAAACACAGTTCACACTCGTATAGTATATAAAGTTTTGTCTTCAAAAACAAAACAGAACAAAACAGGAATGGTGAAAAATATAACCAAACTGGCCTAACTGTTAAAATTCATACCACTCATGACGGTGTCAGAGCGACGACGATCATCATTGCGATCTCCGGTCATCGCAATGAAGCAAGCCTCAGAAACTACATCGGCCGCCCTTCGAGTGGAAAAATAAGAGCTTGCTCTGATATCCTTTCTGATGCGTCGAGTGGAGGGCTTCACCAGTCACTGCAGCCTAGTTTTACGGTGTTGTCATCCCGAGCGATCTTCATGTTCCTGTGAATTCGGCTGTCGTTCATTCCTAAAACTTCTGCCTTATACACTTTGTTTTCTACTTGTCATGTGAAAAAACTTGCTTGTTTTTATGGGCCACAATTCGGCAGAAGTTCACTGAACATTTCACTTTCAGATTCTGTAGAAGAGACTAAAAATCTTCAGGCAAAAGTGTTAAATTCGACCTGCCGAGCTATTTAAGTTTGTAAACTAACGCAGAATGTGAACTTTGATAGTTTGACATTTTTGACAACTTTATTCTTGTACAGCCAATCAGATTATTTGAACCATTCTAACGGGGATTCTGATTGGCTTGTTGGTGCGTGCTTTATGAGAGTATAGACCATGCTGACGACACTGAAGACCGCTTTGGAAATAAAGTTTGTTTTTCAAATTGAAACTAATGCTTGGGGAATTTTAACGGATTCTTTTATTATAAAACAAACAGTGAAGCCTTGACTGTGCTCATGCTGTTCTTTTGTAAAGCACTTAGGAAGCGGCTAGAGCACTTAAGAAGTGAGGAGAAACACTCGACTGCATCTCCTGTCTCTCCCTACACTTCTTTCGTGCTCTAGCCGCTTCCTGCGTGCTTCATAACAGAACAGAGCACAGTCCAGGCTTCTCTATTTGTTAAATAGTTACCGCCACAGAAGGGCTCTTTTGTTTGACAGTGGAACTTGACGTGGGGTCTTACTGTTTTAAAAAACATCGCGATTCTTATTTAAAACATTCTATAAAGCTACACTTAACAATTCATTTTAGTTCTTCAAGTTTTTCGGTTTAATGATTGCAGTAAATAAATTTGTCGGTGAAAGTAATAGAGATAATATCCACCACTATTCACCTCAACTCAACTTCAGTAAATAATTACTAACTGGCTCTACAGACAGAACTTATGTGTTTTTCCAATCTATGAGTAGAAATAAGATCAAAGTTTGTTATCTGACTGGTTTGTAATCCATACTTTTATTAAAGCTGGAAAAGAGACCAGCCATACGGTTGCGAAATTTATAGGTGTAGCGAAACTTGAGATATTTTCATTCGTCGATGGAAAGAAAGCTTGCTTTAAGAGCTTTCCTTAATATTCTATATAATATGATCTTATGGTAAATAATAAAATGCGACCCTTTTTAAATATTAAAGTGTGAATAATACATTCTAAATCGTCCTTAGAGTTGAATTTGTAGAGTACAGAGACTCATTAGTGCGTCGCTGAAGGAAGATCTTTTAACAATTGATAGTGGGTAGAGTTTCCCTTTTTTTGGTTTTGTAACACAAAACGTTCTGAGATCTCTCTTATTTTCAAAACGCTTTTTTTTAAATAACGGACACAAGAAACTTTTGAAAGTTTTACGTTTCAAGAAACACTCCTCGACGATGGGCGAATTGATACATGAAGTTTTTGATAAAGTTCTGTGTGGTTGCCGTTCGCCTGTCAGTATTTGATAAAGTTCATCGCAGCGGCTGTTTCACTGAGACTTGATATACTTCGAGATTTAGCTTTGCATTCAACTAACCGATAAACTTTTGATCAGCAATTACTGGTTCGTTTAATTTTTTATATCAGTTCCACTTGCGTCGCAATTAAGTTAAATGTTACGGTTAATGCTTTAAGGAAAACCATTTCCTAGTTAATTTAAAAAACGCATCAATGTAGGTCGCTTTTAAGCAAGAGACCCAAATATCCATTCATTTCGTTCCAGATTACCCCATGCTTGTCAGATGAAATAATCATTATTTGTTTTCCTTCACATCAATAGCGCCATTGCTATGGGCATCGTTCATCATCTCCAAGTCATGCTGTTTGAATTCAATTTGACCCTCTCCACTATGGCACAGAAAGCAATAACTTGTCAAAACTTCAAGTTTGCTATCGATGACGATGTCATCCATAACCAAATTCTTGAGGGTCACGTGTTTGAAAGATTGACAGTCCACAGCGCCACCCAGTATCACGTGAAGTGCAAAGATGACTGCCTGTGTGTATCCATGAATTATTTCCCTCTGACCGCAGAAAAATGGAAGCAAGGAGGAAATTATTATGACTTGGTAAGGAGCTACACGGTGAAGGTGAGATAACATTGTTTATTTAATTCCTTATTCTTTTATTTATGAATTTTCGTAAATAAAATAAATATTCCCACATAATCAAGTTTTCCGGTACTCCTTAAAAAACAGGTGTTATATGTCAGTCCAGGCCAAAGACAATTTTGGGCATATCGTTTTGTCTGCGATATGATTGGTCTAGACAAAACCCAAACACACTGATTTGGCTGAGAGAGGATTGGGTCCGTTCTTTTTCTCGCAAAATTTTTTCTTAACGGCCATGTTGTAATACAAAGTGGACGGCAGAACAAAAGTGACAACAAATTTCATAAAGACATCGTTGACTGAACCATAGCTGTATTACTGCATTTCAAATCTACTTTGTGGTGGACATTTCATCTCCATTCTGGCACCCCGCTATGTGTTGCACGCACATGTACTTTGCTCGCACTGCTTGTTATCAATTCGATCCGTTTCCAGTGAGATTTGTCGATGGTTGCCATAAAGTACATGCCAACCCAATTCGATGAGCATGGTGAGGTAAAAAAATCCTTTAAACGTTGCCGTAGGGTGGAGACATATACTCACCAGAGAAGCATCATTGCATCAACAGGTGCTGCCGCACCAATCCTTGTCTCAATGGAGGGGTATGTCAGGAGATTTGTGACACTTACAGCACCAGGTTTAACTGTACCTGTCCTAATACATACTCTGGTCAGCGGTGTGAGAAGATAAAACATCCGAGAAGCTGCAAAGACATAGCCAAAAAAGGTGCTTCGAAATCAGGAAAATACGACATCTACGATTCAAACAATAAACGGTTTTCTGTTTACTGTGACTTGCAGTCTGAACCTGGCTTTGTATGGACGTTAATACAATCGTTTTCCTTGGCTAAGAAAAATGCCTTCCAGAAGGCAAGGTTTGGCAAAAACTTTCAGATTGATATTGAAGAGGGGGAAGTGAATTGGAACGAGTTCCGACTATCCTTATCACAGATGCAGTCTCTTGCTATTGACTCCACACATCTGAGAGCAACTTGTAACTTTCTTACGGATGGTCTGCGGTATACGGACTACGCACGCGCTAAGCTGGCAGGTCATGACATTTTTGGTACCTGGGCCACCTGTCAGATGTACGAATATGTTAATATCGGAGGAATTTGTTGTTCTAATTGCACCGCCCTGACAAAACAGGGGGAACATGCTTCCTGGCACGTAAGGAGTTACGGTAGCATAGATGCCGGATGTGAATTTGATGGAAAACCGAGTGAATCCGACTACGAAAACAACTTCGGAAAATTTGGCGACGTCAATATGAATCAGGATCACCGTTGCTCGTTTTCTCCTGCGTCTACAAGCAGCATTAGTTTGGAGCTAAATATGACGAGTAACTTTTTGCGAATTCATTTTCTCTCACAGAAAAGGAAACTCGGCCAACTGAAAGCAAGAAAACATCTGAGTAAGGCTAAGAACTAACACTGACATCATATGTATTTAAGTCTGGTCCACCTTAGGAGTTGAACTTCAACTGAACTCTTTATCACAGAGGAATGTAGACACGCACAAGAGAGACGTCCTAAGTAACCTTAGATGAACAGCGTCCATATTTTAATAGTTGAAGTAAGTCAGTAGGTGGTCTCTCTACAAAAACTCTTGACCTGCACTTTCATCTTTTCAGATGATATTCCGTAGATGGCGAACTTAAATCTTAAAAGTGAAAGGTCGATAAAATTGACCTTCTTTCATATTCGCCGTTGAAAACGTATTTAGAACTCATCATGTGTATATTTATGCAAAATGTTTTCAAGCAAGCGACTAATCGTAAGTTGAAAGGCTTGTGTTTAGACCCAGAGATATTAAATTAATAGCGTGTGATAATCCGTACAGTGAGGAGAACTCTCTCTCGAAATGATATTTAACAAGAGGCAAGTGGATGCTAAGAATCTCTCCGAAGTGATAAAAATGCACAGCTTTGCTTGATTTAATATGAGGGACTCGATACATAACTGTGAGAAGCCCTCAATAGTCTTTCTTTTACAAGGACTAAAGTACTTAAATGCTTCGATAGGATCACTGCTTACTTTATAACATTGCGCTTGTTCTTAAAGAATTTTTGAAATGTCCAAAATCTAGCAGATAAAGTAGGTAAAGTAGTTGGAGCAGGTGTTTGTAAAGAGAAGCACCAGTGAAGTGTAAACGTCATTCAGGATTGTTGTACATAACGTGAGACATCATCTTATTATATTATCATATTAGTTGTGAACAGTTGATGCTCATCGTAACGTTACGAACTTGTGTTCGTCTTTTTCAAAGTCGCATTTCAGATTTTTACTTTAAGCTTTTGGATTTACAGGAACATTACACTGTTGGACGCGCTGTCAATACATTATTAAATACAAATCCAAGTGACCATGAAGCAAAATTTTTTTCTCTAGTTATAAAGTTTACCATTTGAAATACAGGTTTCCCAAGTTTGAAAAGTTCAGTGTTAAAATTAACGATTGTACAAGCTCTTAAAGTCATACCATTTTCCCTTCAAAAATGGTATTCGAATTGCGCGGCCAAAGTACCATTTGACAAAAAAAACACTAACTTCACTTGATGACAGAAGATCGAATTCAGTAATAATTGGTAATTCAGAAGATCGAATATAGTATGAAAGATACGCGGAAACGTGGGCGCTAATGTGTTGCTGGTGCTCCTGACCAGCGAAGTTGTCAGTAAACATCGTTCACACCGGGCACAGGATGTTTCAGTTCCTGAACGATACCGACTGTGAGAGGAAAATGGGTGCAGTTTGTCCGCAGACACAGACACGATTTCAAAGATGCAACTTGGCAATATACGTCGCTTTGTTCGGCAAATGTTGAAGAATCATGTTATGAGCGAAACCTATCCTTACTAAACAGCATGGAGGTCCAAGGGATAACGATGAAGTGCTTTTTCAGAAACGACGCTGTGCCAATCAGAGACACTGTTGTTTCGCCAGGTCCGGGAGAGCTCAGTGAGCGAAGAAAGAGACAAGTAAGATTCGAGTCTAACTCAATTGATGGACCTGAATTAAAGTTACACGGAGTCATTGTTTGTTTTTTTCCTTGGTTCCATGGTTTCTTGAATGGGTTGTCCATTTTACTTTTCTTCTTCTTCTTGTTTTGTTTTTTTTTTTAATCAATGAATCCATGGATATTACGCGTCAAACTCAGCCCCAAAACAGTGCTGCGCTGTAGAAGAATTTGATGAAGTGCAGCTGAGTCGGATTCATATTTTTTCCCTCTACTTTTGGTGTATGGAAAACGCGGAGTGCGGAGTGTGGAGCGTGGAGATGAGCATTGTGCAAAATGAGGATTGCGGAAAACGAAAAGTATGAAAAATGGGAGTATGGAAAAAGAGGAATGTGAAAAAACGCGTAAAGAAGCCTAAGCATAAGAGCAGAAAAGACTTAATTTCTGAGGTCTCATCAGAACAATAGTTTTAACAATATCGCTTCATTCCAGTTATTATGATTTATTAGCGTTTTGATGATAATTACTTTGAAAGATTAAATTGTGGTATACGGTGACAGAATGCGAAGTAAACCTTTCAAAGGCAACATGCTATGCAGTTTCATGATCTTCATATCGCTCATGATTTGTATTATATAATTTCTACTGCCATTTTGTTGGTTATAACCATAACCGCCGTAGCTTTTAAAAACCTTTTCATTCCAGTTATAAGTATTTGTTAATGTTTCGATGGTTAGTAAATTGAAAGATAAATTGTGTATACGGTAACCGAATCCGAAAGAAAAGCTTTCAGACTTAATATGTCACCATATAGTGCACAATTCGTGGTTGAAGAATATTCCGTTTCAAATCTCTTGCAGTTTAAACCTCTTACAGTAGTAACCTTGCAATTTGTAATTGAAGTTATAAGACTCGCGAGTTACAAGGTATTATCAAATTTTATTACTGAGCAAATTTTGAAAATTGCTTAAAAAAGAGCAGTAAAATAATCAACTTTTTAAAACTAAGGTTTTTGAAATGCACCATGCTCCCCAGTTTCTAGACTCTGCGTAAGTCGTGACATTTAGCGTACGTTAAAAGAAGTGTAAATAAAAGAATAAATATGCAAATACTGTTGAGTAATTATTGTTGTAAATAAAAGCTTCTATAAAATCTCCATACTGTTTAGTCATGCTGACATGCGTACCATAGAACTTTCTAGAACATTTAATCAAGTCACACAGTTATTACGATATACTACTAAAATAATTTTTTAGTAAGCTTCTGGAATGTTCCAGAGCACTTTGTGAATGTATATAAAAATTCATTCGTGTAGAAGTGTAGTAGTAGTTGTTGTCGGGACTGACCGACTGAGTAGAAAGATAAACTGTGACAGAGAGCTACATTGGAATATTGCTAATTTCAAGAAACATTGGAGGAAAGTGTGTGTTTGGGTACATACATACATACATACATACATACATACATACATACATACATACATACATACATACATACATACATACATACATACATACATACATACATACATACATACATACACACATACACCCATACACACACCCATACACACATACATACACACTTTATTTGAGTAGGTTAGAATAAGGCAGCCAAAGGCTGATGTAGACCTCCATACATATGATTACGAACATTACAAGAGGTAAAACTATTGACAGATGCACATAAAAAGTTCACAATTCATTCATTTGTAAAGTAAGCTCAAAACAATGTTAAAAATAATTGAAATCCTTGGATTTCATCGTAACGATTGCAACTTCTTTGTTGAAAGAGAAAGCCCCCAAGTCATCTTCTCATTTTCCTAGAGAAGCTTTGAAGCCATTTAAACTACTCGAAAGATCAATCATTTTGTTCATATAATTCATATGGTGTAAACATCTGATTTATAGCTCGTAGAGGTTTACCAGAGACTTTCTTCGAAAACAGTTCACCAGCCCGAAAAGACAGGGAATCAAATCTTGTGCATGAATACAAGGACAGAATTTTCATAAAAATAAGAAACAGAGGCCAGTGAGAATTCAAAAGGCAATCAGCATCAGAAATAAACGAGTCAAGGTTGTAAATAATTCTCGCTGCACTCGAATGTGTCGATTCTAGAGAAGAAAAAAAGGGCTTTAGAGCAGTTTACGCAAATTAAAATACAGTAAGCTAAACTCGGAATTATTGTCTTGAAATAAATCTCTTGCAAAGTCTTTACAGGCAGGTACTTTGTCAACCATAATGTTAAGTGCAGCAAAAACGTTATCTAAACTTTCAGCAATAAAAGATAAGGTATCACTCCGCACCCCCACCCCGCACCCCGCACCCCGCACCCCGCACCCCGCACCCCCATACTCTCCGAAATTGTTTTAGTAGTTGACTCCACCTGGTCTTCCATCAAATTTAAATCCTCTTATTATGCTTTATTTTGAAAACGTCTCTTAACAATTGATGGTTTGACTGCATTGTAATATATCTGCAAAATAATTGTGCGGCAAAAAACGATTCACACAAATCTAAACAATTCTAAAACCTTATGACAAAGTACATAACATGACTACTGAAAGAAATAACATCTTCGTTTAGCCACATTTTTACATTTACGACACTTTAAATAAACGGTCAGAATTATAAAAGCCCAGGAGGGAGCCGGAACTCTAATAAACTTAAAATTAATACCAAGGGGAAAGTTTAAAAACTCGTGAACTTTATCTTCTTAAATCAACCTGTAAAAAATATGAAATAGATTATGTTTTCTCAGAAAGGCAGGATCTTCCCCCAGAGTTGTAGCCGTTATCGGAATAAACAGTTATGAGATCGAGGTCCTTTAAAAGCTATAAATAGCTAGTCGCTAGTCATCGACAAACCTTGATAAACACGCACAAGGACATCATAGAATTTAAGAATTTTATGTTATGCATCGTGTAGTCTAGCTTGGAGTTAGGTTTAATGATACTGATACTAAAATAACACATATTTTTGTCACTGCAATGAACGGAAAGAATTTTAGATTTTTTTCAATTTGCATTTTAAGAATTAGGAAAATTTCACATCACCTGCTACTTATCGACCCACACCATAACTGTAAATACCTATAATTCATAGTTTCGAAGTCTTGATGCTTTAGATTCAAAAATCTTTTAGGTAATTTTCAACCTCATCAGCTGTTCGCTTCTTGTAATCAGCTGCCGGAAATGTACCAATATATCCTTTTTGCGATTATTCAGAGTCTGATTTCCTGGGAAGCTTTATGTTTGCTTATTTAGAGTTACAACTATATTACAATGAGTGACACGGACTTAACAATCCCCGCGTTTAAATCTAAACATGGAGTATATTAAGACGATTCTCGATACTCTCCGTTAAAATTCTTTATTAATTGGACAACTTGTGAAGGCTAAGAAGGAATCACCATCTTGATGGCTATGTGCTTAAGTGGAATCCCACTCAACTTCATTGTGCTCAGTTTTCAATTAATCGCAAAAATTCTGGAAACTTCAATTGAGAAACAAACAGACATAACTGCATGTCATACGGTTTTCTTAAAGATTCTGTTGCTGAATTTTCGTAAAATAGTTGAGAGAACTGCGTCATACTTCATTGTTAGCTTAAAAAAAATGTTTTTTTTTTCAATTCCACAAAGCCTCGGTATGAGCAAAGCCTCACTTTGCACCTCCTCGCTTAAGTTCGAAATTCTAATGTCAGTCAGCCTTCGAAGCAGTCTTTTGTTTCTTTTGGCCAAACGTTAGAAGAGTGATGGTTATAGGAGCATAAAGATCAGTATTACTTCTTAAAGTTAAGAAATTTAAATTTAAATTTTAAAGTTAAGAAATTTTATTTGTGAGCCCGTTTATCAGTGCTCAGCTGGAAATAAAGAGCTGGAGCCCGATCGACCATCATTGATAATTCATGTTAATTTTTCAATTGCCTCTTTCAATGCTATTTAACAGTAGCAAAATCAATTCCTCTGTGGAAACGTACAAAACGAATGTTTATTTCATCCCTTTCAATAGCGAGACAACGGGTTTTGACACCCAGCTGTAAGTATTTGTTTTTCTGAATTTAAAGATTAGAAGGGTATTAGCGATCTCCTTTGTCTGTCTCTGGTCTCTACCGCTTCTTGTTGTGAAATTAATTGTTTTGTTTGTGATCACTATACGTCAAAAATAATTAAAAGACACATTGCGACGTATATCCCCCCAGGACGGTAAGAAAGAAGGTATAACTCTTTTTCTGGTTTTTTAGCTATTAAGACCCTTTTGTGGAGAGTTAAAAGAAAAGAAAGAAAAACCCCTATTCAACTGAATCGCATTTAAGTACTCTTGGGAAACTTACGAAAATATTGTGGTCAAATTTTTTTCCTTATAATTGTGGGACAATAAGTTTTGGCGCCCAGCTGTAAGTATCTTTATTTTGGTGATGGCGACCTCCATTCTTTGTTTCTGCCCTCTTCCGTTTCTTATTGTGAAGGTTAATTGTATTCAATGTTAAAAAGGTGAAAGTCTTTACCTCATATCGAGGAGCAAAGCCAAAATTGGAAAAGTCAGAGGAGACCGGAAAGAGGAGGTAAGTTGAGATAATTCCTATTTGGTCAGCCAGCTCAACAAGATAAAATCTGCTTTTAATCCAGGTAAAAACGTTAATACAACTGTTTGCGTTTAAACATCCAATGTCAGCCGAATGACCAATATATGTAGGAATACTTTCGTAAGAATTAAACAAGGGCGGAGTAAAAAGCTTTAGGTCACCAAACCAAATACAAGTACACCCAAGGTATATTATAAAAGGGATAAATTCTAAGATGAAAATAATATCACGGTTTATCTACCAAATTAGTAAAGTGATTTTACAGAAAATGCTAAGCGCGAGGATCATTTTCTTTCATATGAAAAACATCGTTCATGACGCATTTGCCAGCTTGAAAACATTCTTACATCACATGACATCCTATCTTAAAAAATCGTTATATTTTAGGCAACCCTTGAACAAAATGGCTGGAAAAAAGTTGACAGAAAACTTTCGTGTTTTTTTGCATGTCATCTGTGTTAGAGTTTTCGCACACATTTGAAGCATCTGGTATTTGCGAAAAGGTTCTGTTTGTTTATCGCACGTTTTATATCAATAATATAACCCAATTTTCGTAAGAAGAAAATCTTTGTAAATAAACTGAATAATCTCTCTTGTGATCACCGCTGTGTGACGGATTTCAGTTATTTGATGCAAATTTTTAGTTGTGAAATACTCTCTATTGAATTCCATGTCAACAGTATCGCAATATCATATCAATTGTTTATTTCGGGTGTCTTTTTGGTAACGTCTACCACAGAACCCATGATCTAAATTGATTCACTCTCGTGCTTTTTTACTATTTTTCAAATATAAAGGTGCATCGATATTGCCGGACATACATATAGTTTCAACTACATCTGTTCGCTCGCAAACCTTTCTCGAAGGATTTTACTGAAGCCATAAAATGAATCGACATTTCAAGGTAAGTGCAGAGAGATGGTACTCATTTAAAACCAAAAGTTTGTTACTGAACTACTAAAGAGAAGAGACAACGTGTAATTTGTTTCTACTCAGTTGATTGACAAACTCATGCGGCATGACTCATTCGATAAGTTTTAATTTACTTTTTTCCACTATCAACACAGCATAATATATCTAGTGCGCCATGCACAATGTACCTCAGATTCTCATTTCAATCTCAGCCAATTTTTTATATCAGCTACTCAATCTGTCATCGAGATATTCGACCCCAGAAAACGATGGTCCATTTCCCAATAAGCATTACGTAATCACGTCCGCGTCAAAAGAAGAGAAAACTTTAAGGCACTGATTAAGATCTTTATCGTCACCTGAGGCCGGACTTCTCGAACGGCGTTTACACCGCGTTTCACCATAGTATGATCACGTACCTATTCATAATTTTTTACCTTTCATTTGCATAGACGTACTCTGATTGCTACTAACTAAATTTTACATGCCTTAGTATAATTATGGAACTAAGATATCCATCTTATTTGAAAGTTTTTAAGGTCCACCATGAGTGTTCTTCGCTATCTACATGCGATGTTGTTGGTATCTGAGCTCACTCACACCAAAGAGGCGCAGCCAACAGCAAATTGTCAAAAATTCAAGTTTGTTATCGACGAGGATGTCGTCTATAATCACATTCTTGAGGGTCACGTGTTTCAAAGATTGACAGTCCACAGCGCCATCCAGTGTCACATGAAGTGCAAAGATGACTGCCTGTGTGTATCCATGAATTATTTCCCTCTAACCAAAGAAAATAACTGTGAGCTCAACGACGCTAACAAAGACATGGAGCCAGCGGCGATGAAATGGAGTCAAGGAGGAAATTATTATGATTTGGTGAGAAGCTACAAGGTGAAGGTGAGAGATAGAATCGTGAGTTGTTGATAGAATTGTCTTAGCATTTATTTTTTTAGTTACTTACATTTTATCATAACATAGCGCGCGCGCAAGGCCTACCTATATCCTAAGGGAGCTACCATGATAAAATCCTTATGTAGTGGACATCCGTGCATCCATAACATGGCGTGTGCAGTTTCACTTCGGGTAAAAGTCCCGTCGAGTTTAGCCGAGAGTATTCAAAACTATCACTAAATATTGTTTTTCCGTTCTATCCCGATTGAGGTAGACTTTTTTGTAGCTCAAAATAGAAACAAAATATGCTGAATAAGACTCGTTTCGAAAAACAACGAGCATGTAGATCTCAAGCGACGAAATTACTTTATTCACAAACGTGATGAGGATTATGGCTTAAAACAGAACTTAGTTTTCTGACTTCAGGTGAGGCTTTGCGACGCTGGGAACTCTTAATCAGAGAGGAAAATCTTATTTTGAAGCTTTGCTATGTACCAAAAGTTTTGGTAAATAGAAGATTCTGTTTTAAAATCGTACAATTTTCAGAATTTAAACTCAAAGCTAAGCAATTTTCTGGTCGTAAATTCTAATAAACAACAATTCAAGCAAATTTTAATTTTAGAACCGTACAATTTCAGAATTTTTGAAAATCCTTAACACAAGTTAAACCTACGCAATTTTCTGGCCTTAAAAACAGCTAACATTTACCTTTTCACTCATCCTTCCTTCATGCAGATTGATCATGTGCGTGCGTTAACTAAATTCAATGGGCTTCCATAATAAAAGGCATCGAAAGAACAGTAAGCTAATTAAAGGTTAAATTTTGTTGTAGGGTGGACGCAAAGACATCTCAGGGAAGCTGAGATTTTTTTTTCATCGAGAACTCCTCCTGGTTTTCCATCAAATTCACATCCGAATTCTATGCTATTGTAACTCCTTATGTGCCAGGACACATCTTCCTGCTGTTTTTTCAGGGTGGTGCAATTTGAACAGGAGTTTCCCCGGATATTAACTCGTACAACTGGCAGGTGTTCCAGGTACCAAAAATGTCATGACCTGCAAGCTCAGCGCGTGCGTAGTCCGTATACTGCAGACCATCCGTAAAAAAGTTACAAGTTGCTCTCAGATGTGTGGAGTGATTAGCAAGATACTGCATCTGTGACAAGGATAGTCGGAATTCGTTCCAATTCCCTTTCCCCTCTTCAATATCAATCTCAAAGTTTTTGCCAAACCCTGCATAATTGAAGGCATTTCTCTTGGATAAGGATAACGATTGTATTAGCGTCCATATAAAGCCAGGTTCAGACTGCAAGTCACAGTAAACAGAAAACCGTTCATTGTCTGAATTTGAGATGTCGTATTTTCCTGATGTCGAGGCACCGTTCTTAACTATGTCTTTGCAGCTTCTCGGATGTTTCATCTTCTCACACCGCTGACCAGAATATGTATTAGGACAGGCACAGTTAAACCTGGTGCTATAAGTGTCACAAATCTCCTGACATACCCCTCCATTGAGACAGGGATTGGTGCGGCAGCATCTGTTGATGCAATGATGCTTCTCTGGTGTGTATTTGTCTCCACCCTATAGCCATTTAAAGGATTTTTTAGCTCACCATGCTCATCGAATTGGGTTGGCATGTGCGTTTTAGCAACCATCGACAAATCTCACCGGAAACGGATCGAATCGATAACAAACAGTGCGAGCAAAGTACGAGTGCGTACAACACATAGCGGGGTGCCAGAATGGTGATGAAATGTCCCTCACAAAGTAGATTTGAAATGCAGTAATACAGCAATGATTAAGTCAATGATGTTTTTATGAAATTTGTAGTCACTTCTGTCCTGCCGTTCCCTTCGCATTACGACATGGCCGTTAAGAAAAAAGTTTGCGAGAAAGCGAATGAACCCAATCCTCTCTTAGCCAAATCAGTTTGTTTTGGTTTTGTCCAAACCAATCATATCGCAGACAAAACGTATGCACAAAATTGTCTTAGGCCCAGACTGACATATAACACACCTGTTTTTTAAGGAGTACCGCAAAACTTGATCATGTGAAAATAATTATGTTATTTACGAACTTGAACATTTTGGGAGACTTACTTTGTTTACAAAAGTTCATTATCATGTTATCTCACCTTCACCGTGTAGCTTCTCACCAACTCATAATAATTTCCTCCTTGCCTCCATTTCATCGCCGCTGGTTCCATGTCTTTGTTTGCGTCGTTGAGCTCACAGTTATTTTCTTTGGACAGAAGGAAATAATTCATGGATACGCACAGGCAGTCATCTTTGCACTTCAAGTGACACTGGATGGCATTGGGGACTGTCAAGCTTTGAAACGCATGACCCTCAAGAATTTGGTTATGGATGACATCGTCATCGATGGCGAGCTTGAAGTTTTGATAAGTTATTGCTTTCTGTGCCTCAGTAGATGGGGTCAAATTGAATACAAACAGCATGACTTGGAGATATTGTACGATGCCCATAGCAATAGCACTATTAATGTCAAGAAAAAAAAGATACTTGATTATTTTATCTGACAAACATGGAGTAAACTGGAACGAAATAAAGAGATATTTGGGTCTATTGCTTAAAAGCGACCTCCATTGATAAAATTTCATGACATCGAACATTTGCTCATTTGTGGAAAATAAATTAATGCATTTTTTAAATTAACTGAGAAATTGTTTTCCTTAAAGCATTAATTATAACATTTATCTTAATTGCAACGGAAAGGAAATAATCGTTAGGAGTAAAATTGCCAAAATTTCAGTCGTTAGCCCTAAGGGCCATTATAATATTGACACCTTCTTCTGAATCAGTAAACGTTTTGAAAGACTGAAAATAGTGTATTCGTCTCCCTGTAAAGTCGATCTTTACTACAGAATCACTTATTTGCGGAATTTCGAAAAGAAGATTAGGTAAGCATTCAAGCCCAAACGAAATTGCTCCTCGACGGTTTCTGTAAAGAATGCCGTAAACGTACCCAGCAGCCTAAGCTGAATACAGTTTACATAAAATTGATTGTCAGCTCAAATGCTAGGCTAGTTTCTCTTTATTGCTCAGGTTGCAATGGAGGGAGTTATATTGGCAAATAAAACTTATTTAAAAAAAATAAACGAACCAGTATTTGCTGATTGAAAGTATATCGGTCACAGTTGAATGCAAAGCTAAATGTCGAAGTTTATCAAATCTCAGTGATATAGCCGCTGCGATGAAATTTATCAAAAACTGACGTTCGTGTATCAAATCGCCCAAGTTTGAGGAGTGTCTCTTGAAACGTAAAACTTTAAAAATTTTCTGTGTCCTTTATATAAAAAGAAACGTTTTGAAAATAAGAGAGATCTTAGAACGTTTTGTGTTACAAACCAAAAAGAGAGAAACTCTACCCACCATCAATTGATAAACGGTCCTCTTTCAGCGTTGCACTTATGAGTCTCTGTACTCTACAAGATCAACTCTAAGAACGATTTGTTATGTATTATTCACGCTTCAATATTTAAAGAGGGTCGCATTTTATTATACCATAGGAGCATAGCATATACAATATTAATGAAAGTAAGCTTTCTTTCCATCGATGAATGAAAATATCTCAAGTTTTGCCACACCTATAAATTCTACAACTGTATGGCCGGTTTCTTTTCCAGCTTCAAGAAAAGAAATAGAGTACAGACCAGTCGGCTATCAAACTCTGATCTTATGTTGTATCTGTAGACTGGAAAAACACATAAGTTCTGTCTGTAATTATTCACCGAAGTAGAACAAATTTAATTATTACAGTCAGTAAACCAAAAAACTAGAAAAACTAAAATGAATTATTTACGTTCATAAGTGCAGCTTTATAATATGTTTTACATAAGAATCGCGATGTTTTTCAAAACATTAAGAGCCTCCGTCAAGTTCGACTGTCGAACATAGCAGCCCTTCTGTCGCGGTGACAATTAATGTGTATTGTTCCAAAACTTTTAATTTTTAAAATTAATTATAAAAGGGCGTCCATTTTGGCCTCATTTTGCCAAGAGAATCGATACTTTGACGAGTTAAGAAGAAAAGCTACCTACATAGAAGAGCTTGAAAGCAATTTGCAGGAATTTACTGTACCCTGTTTTATTTGGTTTTCATGATAGGAATTTCTCTTTTGACGGAGTAGATCACTTAAGGATATTCGTCTGCCCAGTAAATTGAATAAAATAGACTAAACAACTTAAGTTTACTACACCTTTTGCAAAGTGCAGCTCCTCTCCTGATTATGGTAATTTCTTCCTTTTCAAAATTTTATCGCTAATGGCTTCATATCTTGATTAGCATTGTTGAGCTCTCAGGTGCTTCATTTGGACTGAGGGAAATATGATTATACAAGCACTCATCCCTATACATCACATGTAACAAACGAATGGTAGCAAAATAAGGCACCGAGCTCCCTAATTATCTGTAATTGTTACTTGTTTAATCAGCACACTTTGCCACTGATATTTCATTCGAAGTTTCAATGGCCCAACGATGTGTAAAGTTTCACTTATAAATTTAAAAAATTGCATGAAGAAAAGGTAAAATATCACAAAAACTTTCTCAAATGCTAACCCTTCTCTAGAAAGATGTGCAAATAAGGAACATAGATGATAATATTGGACACTTGTTATCACTGATACTCTTTCACATTAAGAATATTTTGAACAGGAGCCGAATGATATGAATTATCCAATAACGCATGCCATCCATTCACAGTTTAAAAGCGTCAACTAGAGAAGGAGAGATTAAGGTCAGACTTCACCATTGAGGAGTCTACTGGGGATCAAAACTAGAAATAATAATAATAGCACTGAAATAAAATATAACCCGAAGCAATTTTACTGTTTCTCCAGGCATTAATTTTGATGTTAAGTTGTTATCTTTCTTTTTCGGTAGTCAGTCACCCCAAACGAAGACACACAGCCAGGCCTTAAAATGATCGTCCGTGCCAAACCGATAATAACCAGTACCTACCCGTTTGAAAAAACTTCATGAAAAAGAATCTGTATATGACAGGAATTAATAATAAACACGGATATTATAAATCAAATACCGTAATTTTTTTATGGAAATTAGTGTAATGGAATTATTTTGCAATGAAAAACCTTCACAAATGTTACATGGTTAAAATTTTCGTTGCTTCTCTCTAACTTGTGAAGTTAGTATGCTTGATTTAGAAGCCAGAAATGATCGTAAATGGTTGAAATTAGATCAATTTTTTGTCGGTGAGGGTTGTAAAGCGCTTTATAAACAGAACATGATAGAGGTTGTGTCATTATTTTTTAGCTTTAAGGGGGTCTTCTGGTTGGTAATTAGAAAAGTTTGAAAATTGAAGCGAAAGCAATGGTTGTTTCCCCAATAAAAATTTTAACTATCTTCAGTAAGCTACCATTTTACACTCGATTGCGGATGGAAACTTAATTTATCCTAAAATACCAAAGAAATAATAAAATAACTTCCTATAACTTCAAGCTTTGACAAAAACAAAACGGACAAACTCACAGTAACAAAGTAAAAATTTCGAAATCTAATAACTGAGTACTCCTCTATAGTTTCGTTGTATGAAGCTTCCTTTATTTTCATGATATTCACAAGCAAACCTGTACACTTATGTTACACAAAACTGGACGTTCAAGCCAGGCTTGATAGTAATTAGCAAAGAAGAAGGAGAAATTCAAAGTTTTTTGTGGTAAGATCTGTCTCTAAAGGGGGCTTTCCTGAATGGCTATTTTGACTGAAGCAGGTTGGCGAGAAAGAGAGGGTATTTTTATTATTAAGCCACTTTTCAAATCCTTCGACCAGGTACATAGTGGACTCGTCCTCTTAGCAATAGATACAAAGTGAGTCGTTTTCGACTCCAAAGATGTAAAGATTTCTTTGTGCAAAAATATGTAAGTGGACTTCTATAATCCTGCTGACTCCTGAGATGTATTTACAAGGATGGAGAAGAGATCGGTTTATGAGTCATTTAACTGCAAATGTCTCTTTCACTCTCGATACAAATATCAAACTAGTATCTGAGAGTACGTAGATTGATGAAACAGCATTCGGGCGATTAAATGAAATGTGATGCTGCCCCTTCTTATAGCTATCAAGTCCAGTACAAGCAAACTTAATGCAACTATGCTATTCAGTCTTCATCCTAAGCTATGAAACAGTTGGTGTATACCCTTGATTGTTCTAACTCCTGAAGATAATATATTTCAATATTTTAGGCTTTTTAATTTAATTTAGGATCATGTTATATCAACTGCATGTGTATATTACAGATTTAAGGTTATTTAAAGGTTCGTAAGGCGTATTTGAACATATTCGTATGGTAGCTTACGCATACAAGCCATGAGTCATTACTTAACTACTACTACAGCGCAATTTTGCCCCTGTTTTCAAAAGGTAGCCAGGATTGGTATAGAAAACTCGGGCTAATCTCCTACCTAAGCAATGCATAGCTAAAAACAATCACAGATTACAACAGTCTCCTTGTTTCTCTTTGAATTCTTAATGGTTACTGTGATATCGTATTTTGTTCTAATTGGCTGTCTATATTGTTTCGGTTTGACATGCAATCTATTCACGTTTAATCTCAAACCAGTATTGTGTCGTAGAAGGATCCAAGAGGAGCAGCGGTGATTCGAATTTATCGCTCCGGAATGATACCGTCCAAAATTATTTTCGTTGTCAACTGCTCCTAGTGATCCATCAAAGCCGCATTCTCTCTCCTAGCTTTTAAAACTGTTCACGAACCAAGCATCATTAGGATCCATTCTTGTTTAATGGAATGAACGAATGTTAATATACTCAAACAGTTTGCAATCTCCACCCCAGTCACCGAATATGTCATGACCTGCCAGAACTGCGCGTGCGTAGTCCGTATATTACAGGCCATCTGCAGGTATGTTACATGTTACTCTCAGATGTGAGGAGTGATTTGAGAGAGACTGCATATGTTATAAGGAAAGGCGGTAAGAGTTCCATTCCGGTTCATTATTATTGTCATTCACAGGAAAATCCGTGCCAAACCCCTTATCCTTATACGTGGCCTTATTGGCAAAGGATAACGATTGTATCAATGCCCATACAAAGCCAGGTTCTGACTGCAAGTCACAATAAACAGAAAACGGTTTCTTGGCGGAATCAAAATACCGTATTTTCCTGATTCTGAGGCTCCGTTGTTAGCGATATCTTTGCAGTTTCTTGGATGTGTAATCTGACCACAACCCTTACCAGTATATTTGTAAGAACAGGTGCAGCTAAACCTGGGGCTGTGACTGTCACAAATCTCCTGACATACTCCCCCATTGAGGCAGTGACTCTGGCTGCAGCATCTATTAACGCAGCGATGTTTCCCTGGAATGTAGCTTCCTCCACCCTAATTGAAAATGAAGTTTTTTTCTTAAGCTATTCCTTGATTAAAGTAAATTCTACTGGTGCAGATATTCAGAAATGAATTTGGGGAGCGTACACTAAAGAGTTGGTCCATGCCTAGCGAGCGTATATCAAGTTAGGGATGTACGCGGGAACTAAGAGCACGAAAGAAGCGTAAGGGTTGCTTGAGTTCTCTTCAAACTTCCCAAGCGCGTTCATAACGCGATACACGCATAGCTAAAGTATGAACTGAAAAAAT